CGAAATTAGCTCAGCCGTTTTGGAGATTACCCGAAACAAATGCCTCTTACGGACAGACAGACAGACAGATAGACAGACTGACAAAAAACTTTTATTTAAATGCGATTTGCGTTATCAGCAACGCAAATACACCGTCTTCCCAAATCTGGAATTTTTCTTTTGGTATTGCAAACAAACACTACAATTCTGTTATATGTTTGAATAGATTAGATAAACATCTATTAAATTCAGCGTATTACTGATCTAATGTTTTATTTATTCGAAAATTGTAACAGGATAATAATTTTGCAATATCTGTCATGTCCTTTTGCTTGGAGTTTTTGCATTTTATCGATGTGCATTTTTGAAATACGTAAATATACATAGATATCTATTTTTGGTTTTCATTTTAGGGAAGTTTCGATTTAAATTCATTGGAATTTCCAGTACAGCTTATGGGATTATCGCGAGGTCGAGTGTTCTGCGACACGGCTTATTGCGTACTTACCACTGGCTAAGTTAATCCTTCAACTTAATAAACCTGTCCTTTGTTTTGCAATCCAATGTGCAAGTATTCATTACTTTCGAGGAAGTTTGTATTCTTAGTAATAAAGTGATTTAACTGGGAACGAATCAGTTTATTTCTAAGAAATTATGTTTTGTATTCGAAAGCGTTTTGTATTTATTATCCTTGAGTGATTCTTTGTTTAAATTGTAGACATGTCATTTGTTTGGTTATACCAGTAGCCAGTGACCTTTAAGGCCAGTGCAGAATACTCTAGAAGTTAACTTCTGCTTGCACATTTTAGTATTTCGTGACATACGACCTTTTGTTATCCGAGTTATAGCTGTTTTATTTCATTCAAAGGTATTTATTTAATTTAATTGCCCTATTTAATACGTCTAGCTATATAAGTTCATTTAGAGTGTCGAGTTATTTTTGCACATAGTGTCCGCAGTGCGGTCGTATGCAAATGTCTCAAATTAATCATGTCCTTACTTCTATCACAGTATTTACATACGCTACGGGAGTTTTCTCTGTAGCTGTGTTATATTTTGTTGAATTTAAATTTTACAGTTTTTCTTTGTTCGTGCTGAATAGAATTTATTTATTTTTATCTTACTAACTTCAGAAACATCTTATTAAAGTAAACCTACGACTGTAGATTTTTAATCATCGGATTTAAAATGCGTCTCTTGGTCCAAATTTCTCACCGTCTTAAAAAATCGATTATTTTTAATATTACAAAAGAAAATCAAATATGAAAGTACATTAATAAAGGAAAGTAATATTAATAGGATACAATAAGAGCTCATCTTACGCTGAATTAAATTGCAATAGACTTCTAAAACGAGTTCAAAGTTGGTAAGTTTGCCAGTACTGGGACATCAACAAATGCGGTCCTCGCTCCGGCATCAGTCGTAATCAGTCGGCAGGCAAACTGATTGCTCCCGACCGACGTAACGAATAGCCGACGATAAACTAAGGAACTACCTACTCATTCAGAGCACTTGAAGTTGCAAGTAAATATAAGAAATATTTGCTTCCTTGAGAATTTTGTTTTACAAGTATTTTAATATCCAACGAACCTAATGGAAACACCAATATAGCAAAGGTTTTATTTATTATCGAAGCAGCGAGCTATAGCTAGTAGTGCGGTTTCATGTATTTTATATGTTTGCTGAACGGATTAATAAGAAAACCAAATTTTTACTTACATTATGTTGGCTTTTACTATCTCCGATTAAAATAAATGCTGTGATTCATGGATTTCACTTCGTCACATTAGGTCCATTTTAATTTTATCTGATTGGCGCACATTGCTAAAATCCTTGCCAGTTTTATCTTATTTCTGAATATTAATATATCGAAGTTTAAATCTAACTCAGTAACATTATCTAACTAGTCCACAATATCTCGACGTAAGACTAATTAAATTAGTTTATAGTATTTCAGAGTATTTTTTTATTATAGAGTATTCGTGGGATATCTGCTAAATCTTAACGAAAGCTTAACGAGTGCACTTAACAGAGGAAATGAAGACGGAATTAAGGATGTGATTTACTTCAGCGACGAGTTTTGAAGTACGTGACTCACAAATTCGAGCACTCGTATTATATTTTACAATCGTCTTCTTACAAATTCTTCCCTGACTGTTGAGGTTAATTTTATTCTTCACATTACACAAAGTATTGTATGTAATTGTTACATACGAGTACTAATGTAATAGAAAAAGGATTCATTATTTCGAACTAGATTTCGCCGGTGACTTTGTAAAAAAATTAAGAATCCTATGTGTTCATCCAGATTGTCCTCGATATTAATGTTAAATTTCATCAAGAACCGTTCAGCTGTTTTAACTACAAACTCTAAACATCCATCTAAATTTTCGCATTTATAGTATTAGTAAGATAGAGTCAGAAACTATTCCCATTCCACGTATTATGTAGGCATGGTCGGTTTGCAATATATTATATGTTAAAAGACAAACTGCGATTTCAGCGAACAGTTTGCATTGTTCTAACGAGATAGACACGTAAACAAATACTACAGATGTTTGAACGAGTTGAAATACTGTGTTTTACAAACTTTGCAAATCAACAGAGAACATTTTGTAACTCAAATGAGATAGAAAATCTATGTAAACTAAGAAAATGTTTGAGTGAGTAATCAGATTCCCTTTGCAAATTAAAGATGAAGTTTTGTACTCGGGAACCATTAAGGAGTTTTACATAAACCTTCCGTCCGCTGTCGGTGAAACTTCGCAAAATGGATGATTAACTTCTAATTTATAAGGGTTCATTAACATTGTTGCGATAGATGGCGAAAAAGAAAGTAAAGCTTGTTTTAATCCGACACTTGTTTATGGCCGTGCTGATGGAGAGTTTGTACGGTTTTCTTAGATATTTAACAGACATCGATGCTTCAAGGTGGTTACGTATAAATATTTAAGTATAATTACATTTAACGTTACCGAAAATAAGATATCTGACTCATATTGGTCTGATAATTTAATTGTTACTTTGTCTTACGTAGCCCACGTTTTTTTTCTTTCATTACTTAGTGTTAATCTGCAAAGTCTAAATTAAATGTAATTATTCATTGCAGAAATAAATTATAATGTATACTATAATAATATATACTGTGTACCTGTTTGGTTTACTAATTTACAAGAAAGGCGACTTTTTTCCCCTAATTGTTATTCATATCTAAAATTATACCATAAATTTTTACCTTTCTTTAATGTATTTCTTTAATGTATTTACGTTCCTTATTATGGTCAAACTTTTACTGTAAACAATGTTAAAAGTCAATACGTGTTTTGGTTTAAACAAAAACAGGAGTGTAGTATTGTTCGGGAGTTGTTTTGAACAAGCTATTGTAAATAGAAGCCGGCGTGCTTTCTCCGCGAAAACAAAGTTAACACCGAAGAGTAAACAACATTCGATTTCATGCACTAATAGTTCGTTGGAGTACAATTATAATTACTGAAACAGGAACTTATAGACATTGTTTAAAATTAATCTATAAAAGACCGTTAGAGTTTTTGATTTGATTCACAATCTTTTATTACACGATGTTAGTTAACACTTTATGTCTCAATTCTCGGGCATTTATCGATCGTCATTCGACCCCTATCAATAACAGGACCGCATGTGGCCCGTACATAAATCAAGATCAATGCGACTCGCACTACGCGCACAATCACTTTAGAATATTGCACGTAAAATCAATGATCCTTAATGTCAACCCCGATTGATTTTAGCATTGTCAAGCTCGGCTGCGAAAGGGTTATTTGTTAAATGGGTTTGTTCACCTTATATTTCAAGGGTAATCAAAATTATTGTAATAACCGCTTTACTGTTAGCTATTTAGATGTTCATCTATCTTAAAATTTAAAAACAACTGGTATAATCTTGTCTAGATTTAAAAGTAAACAATTTCAATCTAGGATTTCAGTTTAAAATTCTATCAGCCTTACAAATAAACGTGGTATAAAGTTAAACTTAGAAATAAACTGAGTATATGTAATATGAGTACAAATTTTGCTTATTTATGCGTTTATTTATAATCTGTAATGATTTTATATTTACCTTTGATTTGAAGATGGAAGTTAAACAAAATAAACAACGGTTTTGGTATCCACAAGTCAGTAAGACATCGTTAAAAGAAGAAATAAGTTTTGGAACAAATCTAAAATTAAAATAACTGTCGCCACCTCTATAACGGTAGGATGTTAAGTTTATCTTTGATCTGTCGTCACCCTTTGAAATGGACATAACTTTGAAGATCGTTCTAAATCCTGTATATAAACCATATAGAAATTGTCATATTTATAGTTTGATCATGGCAGTTAGGGAGTTTGCAGAGCTCGTACTCGATGCGTACCTGATTAATCAATAGCATTGTTTTTAAAGGGTGTGTATGTATTTATGTATAACCACGCTATCGTGATTTGCTTTTATCTTGTCTGGTATTGAAGAGCGAGTTAACATTCGATTCTTCCTGCGAATATCGTAGGGGTAATGTCAAGATCGTTGATTGTATGAATTTATTGATAGTTTGGAGCTAACTCAATTTGCTGACGTATGTTACATCCGGTGGTTTACCGTTTTCACGGCTATTTTAAGTTTCTCAAAATGTTTTGTCGTAACGACCAAAACTGTATTTAGGAACTCTGAAAACATCAAACCACTTAATGCTTTTAGGTATGTTAAGGAACGTTAAATGCTTAAAAGCGTTTCCGCTTGACCAATTTAAAGGAAAGTCGTAAATAAAATTAGGGAAATTCTCGACAGAAATGCTCCCAGGGTTTAATTGTTTGCGGTTACACGAAATGGGGGCGTTGATTTTACATTGTTGGAATTCTGAAACTTTTAGCGATTGCAAATGTTATTATGGTTATTAGAATTAATGGGCGTAATGGACATAATTCTTTTTCATTGCTATTTATAATTCTGTCAAGGATATAAATTTTACTAGGTTTTTTTTTAAATACATTTATTTTTCTTTGTTACAGGTGAAATACAAGATGGCGCTTAGACTCGGCAGGGTGTTGCTGCTGCTACTACACACAGACACTACATAAATAGTGTTTGTAACACATTAAACTGACTTAAACATCTAAAGTTAAAGTACCAGTAAAAAACGTAACAATGAATCTAAAGATAATCCCGTTCCTACTTACATGGAACATCTTACTGACCGCAGCGAAGCGAGATTCGTTTGAAGACGAAGACTCCATAAGAGCAAAGGAACTCAGAAACAAAGAGAACAATCGTAACAGAACTACCTTTAATGGAACGTTGACAGATATACCAGAGAGACGATATTTAAGACATAGAAATAGCTCCAGATATCGCGGCGATAGACGACGATTTTGGGAACGTGAGCATGAAATAAGACGTGAAAGACGAAAGGGAGCAGAGGCACATTCTTCTGAAGAGTATTCTGTATTCAATCGAACAGACCCGTACAGTTTGAGAAATGTAGACAAGCCCCGAAGACCAGAGAAACATTGGAATAAAAGCAGCATGGAAAGAATCGCAAGCGAGAGAAGAAAAGTATTGAATCAAAGCAAACCGGACCGACCTCATCCCATCCCAGTGAAGGAAAATACAACAAGAATGAAGTCGAAAATAACTAACAAATGGCAAAACAACGGTTATATACCATATCCCCAGCCGCGGGAGAAGAAACCGAATATAATTTTGATATTGACAGATGATCAAGACGTAGAATTAGGCAGTCTTAATTTTATGCCGCGGACTATGAAGGCAATAAGAAGTGCTGGTGCCGAGTTCAGACACGCCTATACTACTACACCTATGTGCTGCCCATCAAGGTAAATCAATCAATTAAAAAATAAGTTTATTTATGTCGTTTAACGGAGAGCCTCTGTGTATTTTTTTCGTACATCTAAATATTTACCATCAGCATTTTCGTAGGAGTTCCCTGCTGACGGGCGTGTACATCCATAACCACAACGTGTACACAAACAACGACAACTGCTCGTCGCCGATGTGGCAGGCCACTCATGAGACCAACACATTCGCCACCTACCTCTCAAACGCTGGATACCGCACTGGTAAGCTTGACTACAATATTTGTTCGAATAATATTATCAATAGAAACAAACATAAACTTGGTCCTTCGAGCCGACTGTACTCCTGGCGAGTGTCATTTTAAAAATATTATTTGAACTATTTATCATCCAAGAAAAGTTTATTGCTTTTTAATGGATTGAATGCATAATTTAAGTATTTGGCACAAAATAATTCAGCATCATCTGATTTTAAAGTTATGTACAATAAACGAATTCTAATCTTTTTTATTTCGTTAAAAATGTATAACGGCTTAAAGAGATGGCAGGAATTAGAAAACGTCGGTTTCTCCGCTCATTATTTAGCGATTATAATGAATTAGTCCGCGTCACCGGTCCGACTAGAAGTGTCGGTTAGTGCAGGTCGCTACGTCGCAGAATATAAACACCCGTCCAGTTGGTAGCATTAACATTTGAAATAGACATTGGGTTTCCACATTCCTCTCCGCTAGACAGTCAATGTATGTCAGATCTAATCTGCCAGATTGACAATTACTTAAATTAGAAATGTAAATGTATTTTTTTTCGCTCGTTTAACTTTGTATGTTCTATCTAGAGTTTAATAAGATTAGAAGTTGTTGTGGCCTGTGAGCAAAATAACAGTTACGTATCAACATCTGACATAAACAAAACTGAAATCGTTAATTAAAATAACTGTCAGAAACCTGAAATTATGACATATACGTTAGCTGGTATATAGGTTGTTAGACTAACAAATATTTAGAAGTCAACTTTAAAAGCATTACAAAACAAAAGTGTGTTGACGTGGAATTTGATACAGTACTTAACATCGCTATATCGAAGTGATAGCTTCGTGATAGTGTTAATAAACATGTCGTCAATAAGGCACGGTAAGTCGATACTTACCACCTGAGAATGCACTACGATACTGAATAGCAACGTTCGTAGAATACCTTCCAGACATTACTACTTCTTATTGAATAATTCTTTCAATGGACACGGCACTTTTAGAATGTAGACTATAAAATAAATAGATCTGACATTACACTTGTGACCTTTTCACAAAAAGAAAAGATCAGTTTTACGAAATATCGAATTGGCAAACCTTATAACTTTCTTTGGAAAGAATTGAAATAGTCTTCTTATTATCGCAATAGCAATTGCTAGCGCATCGCACGTGTGAAATTAAAAAATGTAGACTATATTACTCACAGATAAATTTCTAAAGGTGCAAGAATTTTTAAAATCAGCCCAGTAGTTTTTAAATTATTACATACAAAAATACAAATCTTTCCTCTTTATAATATTAGTATAGAAAGAGGTTTTAACACTTACTGACTTTTCAATCACGATCTAAAATAGAAAATAAAGTAAGGAATAATGTGGTACAATATTCGTGAATACAAAAAGTATTTTCCTAATAAAGAGAGACGTAATCCTTAACCTGTCAGGTCTGAATTATTTATTCTGCAGTCATTGCTGCATGCTCCATTGTGTCATCAATTTCGGGAAAACATTTTAACAGTCGGTTAATTCTATCAATAGCATTGTGTACGTTTATTTAGTAATTCAATCTAATCGTAATTCGTATATTTTTGTTGGGTTTTCACTGTCACAAACACTCCAACAACAAAGTAGTGACAATCTTTTCAATCCCTTTGAGAAAAACTAAAATAAGGATACGATTTTGTACGGCTATTTTTGTTGTTAGTGTCACAAAATGCGCAGTTTCAGAAATAATAAAAACTGAATTTAGAAACAACTCATTTGACGTTTCCTTTTCGTCCAATGTTGTCATAATCTATTCTAAAGTTTTAGTCATGTTAGTTTCATCGTGTGTCGCTTGCAGTGGATACTGCGTGTATGGGAGATGTAATATCTTGGACGAGGAGCGTTGAACGCTTATCCGTCGGATACCGGGTTTAATGACGCAATAAGGTCAGGAATGCCGTCTGACTCATAATCGACTGGTATTCAGCGTCGCTACCCTTCCCTAGTATTGTGTGAGGATAATAAAATCTAAAGGGTAGAGAATAGAGAGAAATAAGAAGAAAAACATCCAACTTCATTCTTTTTGCTCTTTAATGGTAATTGAGCTTAGTTGAAATTGAAATTTATTGAAAAATAACAGATTAACAATTTACAATAAAAGTTATAACCAATTAAAAGATAAATACAAATAGTGATAAAATGTGATTGATCTAGTGATGCCCACACTAGGCAATGCCTGTATCGTGGGCATCGAAACAGCAGGAACAATATTTTTATACAATAATAATTAAAATCCTACGCTTACGGCGTTTCGGTATTATTATGAATTTATGAAAGAAAAATAAATATGCAAGATGATATATGATATATGTATAGAATAAATAAAATAAGATGTAACAATAAGACTAAATACTTGAGAATAAATAATATATGTTATATATGTATGAATATCTGTGTTATATATATGAATGTATGTAATAAATATTTATAAACGTCCTAATAAACAAGATTACTTAGAAATGCGTAGATTACTTACTTACTTAGTTGAATCCATAATTAAAAATCCTATAATTTTTAATCATTAAAACTTATCACAAATTAGTTCATACTTTACTTCCTGTATTAACTGGCAAACTTTTAATCACCACTCTGTAATAAAGTTGGAAAACTCTCGCAGCAACTTTATTGTCTACATCGACATGATTAAAAACTAAATTGACTTTGTACATCGTTCGAGACGAGATAAAACTTCATCTATTTTATAAGCCTTATAAAGTCCTTCCCGTCACCTCCATCCTTATAACGTAACCGCTATCATACTAATCATACTAATACTAATATTATAAAAGCAAAAGTTTAGATGGATGGATGGATGGATGTTTGTTAGAGTTTGTAGTCTAAATGGATCTGGATAAAATTTGGCATTGATATTGTACATAGTCTGGAATAACACATAGGCTACTTACTTTTGTTTTTTTTTATTCCATGCGGACGGAGTCGAGGGCAAAAGCTAATAAGTCAATATAACTACATAGATGACAGAAGAAGATTGGTGCAAATTCCGCGCAAGATTTGTTCTAAATATCGTAGTGATGTGTGGGCGCACGTGGGCTACCGGACGACGGCGATTTCGTCTCAGACCAGAGGTGTAGATGGAACTGTCCTTGCGGGTATTTGGGGAGACGATTGGGCGGTAACCGGTGACCATCCGGGAGACGCGACGTGCGAATGCGGTGTCGTGATTTGTCCGGACGCTAACTGAGGTCGTTGTACAAGAATTGTTTCCTCACTTGCTCTTATGTCGGTCAATTGACTGCATACCGATGTAATAGTAACAGAACGGATGAATTATAATAAGGTATCTATAAAGATAGGCTTTAATTTAAGAACTAAATATATCGTTGTCTAATAATGCTAACGATACACAAACGATATAAGCTGGTTGCAGTATTAGATATAATATCACTTTATAGATAGTATTTCCTATAAAAATCGATATTTCAGATGGTATCAGCTATATTGTAGTAGCTTTAGTTTTGTAGTCGATACCATTCGATCCCTTCGAGGCGTGGAGCACGCGGCCCCGATTTATCAACGCCCCACTAAGTGTTCATTTGCGTTGTAAATTTATGTTCTGGACGCGCTATCATAAATTAGTAGTTCGCTTTCCCTTCCGCCTGCACGTGGGCTCGCCCACAGGACCGGGATACTCCGGGATAGATCGTGTTAATTCCTTTTACGGACCCATCATACTGATTGCAGCTTCCCTTTGAACGAGAAATGTGTGGGTCGGAGAATCCAGGAAACAGCTTTTTTATTCTAGCGTAGTTTTTGATAAACATTTTCCTCATACTTGTTAAATTTGAAATACAAATTTTTCTACAAAAAAACTTAGGTAGGTAATTTTATAGTTAATGTGGGATGAATTTTTTGCAAATGGATTTATGCAAAACTATAATTTAAGAGACAAGCAAGTATTATAATAAAATACCCCAAGAATAACTGGTTAAGTATCCTTCACCCATTCTTTTAGTACTTGACACGAAAACGGAACGTTGCATTGTTTTGTAAACATTAATAATTATATGTGTACTTTATGTTGAACTTTGTACAGTATACATAAATCCGTGCATAAAAATGTCTGCCTGCAGAGAACCTACGGACATTTGCCTCGTACAATAGGAGTCGTAAAATAAACATTGCATTGTAGCTTACAATGTATGCAGTTTACAGCATATTTATAGAATGAAAATTTCTGTAACTAGGGTTACGAATATGATAATAATTAAGGGCTTGTGCCATTCTTGTAAATTATCAGATGACAATCCAACGTAAAAGAGATGTGACGGAAATATCGGATTTTGGTACTCTATCTGACAGTGGCGTCAATTTAAAGTTATCTGGAACCGGCCCTTAGAATAATAAAAAATATGAAAGAAATGTGTTTTTTTTCTATAAGTTCCTTACAAGTAGAGTAAAAAGTACGTTAAATAGATTACTGTATGTTTCTTATCTTAAATTATTAGCAAATAAGCAGCTAAATGGCGTATAAACGGCATTCAAAGTGGACATAACAATAAAGTAGGATATAAACATATAGATGCCCAGCCGCGTGGGCGTCGCCGCCGCGCTGTCTGCTCGGTGCAGACGCGCGGTCAACGAAAGTACATAGATTATAAATAAAATTTATTTTAGATTAGCGCGCCATGTTTACTCTATGATCTCTGTTGTGTTACTTGATACAAAACAGATAGTTCTGTTATTGTTCATGGCCATGGAGAATTTTAAATTATCTTATCATAATTTAATAATGAAATACTATCGTTTAGAAGTATAAAATAACGGTTTTATGTTGTGTTCATAGCAACAATTGATAATTTTGAATTACCCATTGTTTTAAGATCTATGCTTCTAATATAATCCGTAATAATTTATTGTTTTTTTTTTTGTTTATGTGAGTAATGTTATCAAGGGCTATTAAAGGACTTTCGTAAGTTATGTAAGCAACTTAAAACAGCGCTATAAAAGTAAAT